CCAGACCTCTAGTTAAACTTTTCTTGAATCTTTAAGCATCACTAAATTTTAAGTTTTATTTCTTATATATGTGTGCATTCTGTGAGGGATCTGAACATCTGAATGGATCCCAGGGTTTTCAGCAAGTGAGTTGTATTTCATGTGAGGGGAATGAATTCTGGAGTTTAAGCTGAGGCCTGGTAGGGCAGGAAGAATAATCAGGAACATATGAAAACTAAAAGGTAGGTGGATCATAACGGAACTTGGAAAGACGAATTCAGAGCTTGCTTAAGGGAAGTTGATAGAAGCTAAAAAAAGTAAAGAGAACACCAGAAATCACAGAGAATGGATGAAGCTAGAATAAGGTATGACATCATTAAGAACTGTTTGGGAAGAATGGTAGTCATAAAACACAAAGCAGGTTTGAGAAAGCAGCCAATGAACTGAAAACCTTTCAAGACTCTAAGTGATAGAAAGCACGGAGACCAGTCTGACTGTATGAGAATTTTTATTGATGGAATCTAAACATATGCAGAAGAAGCTTGTGTCCTCCTGGCCCTGTTGTTTAAATATATGTAGATGTGCTGCAGCAGAAGATACAGGGAAACTGAGTCAAGATAAACTACCAAGTAGATAAGCATCATTGACAAACAGGAGTCTGAGGCCTGATGGTGTCTTTCATTCATTTTTATAAGACTTGCAGTTTCTCATATCATGGTAATTCCATTTTACTTCATACTGAAAAGTAGAAAATACTGATTTCCACAAAAAAACTCATGCCAAGACATTGGGAGTCACAGTGTCCCCTAATGTATAATGTAGTACCTACAGGAGCTAAGCTTTAAAGAAATACAGATTTTCTGGGACAAGTTGTACTTTAGTATTGGGCAGAAGCCTGTCATTGCCCATCTTACCATATCTGTGTTAGCTGAGGATGAGAAAATGGATTTCAATAAATGAGTTAAAGCTTCACTTACATCCTCACTAGATAGCATCATTTTTAACCCTTTGTTATCCTGTGATAACTAATATATACCATGCCACTCAGGATATGAACCCACTGATTAATTTCATGTTTTCTAAGATACAGACTAAAACACAGCCTTGTTTCTTAAGCATCAGTTTTCCTGTAGATAGCTTATTACTCATTAAAATGAAAATATCCTCAGATCTTACACTAAATAGTAATATTCTGGTGTTGTATTTTAGAACCTCTAGTCTATATGTAGAGTCTAGAGGAGTTCTCAAGGACAGATAGATTTAGAAGGCTATGAAGCTGCCCACAGTCCGACTGTAGACACCGGGCAGAGAGTGCCAGGAGTGAGTGCCTTCGCTTGCAGCCTGCATTTGGGTATTTGGCTCAGGCATCCACAGGCACAAAAGCGAATGTGTCACACAAGAAAAGAAATGGAAACAAACAAACCACAATACCAAAAGAAAGAAAAAAATCCACAAAGCACACTTTCACAGTCCTCTATTTATACTAGCACATTCTGGAAAAAATCACTCAAAAACCTGTTCCTAATCATTGAAACCTTAGGCTGTCGACATTTTTCTGCTTTCCTAGCCAAATAGTCATGTGCAGCAGCCAGAGGGTTAAAGAGCCAGATTTCCTGTCCCATACTGCAGCTTTGTGTGAGCAATATGGAGGACCTCATCGTCACTGCAGAGGCTCCTGTTGAACATGAAGGGTCTATCCAGGCAGAAATATGTGCAGCCTTCTGGGCCAGATTTGCTCCGGAAGGGCTTCTGAGTTGGCTGTGCAGTGAACTGAGCTGTCCAGACCTGCTGTTCCACAAAGGCCAAGCCTGTCTCTCTGAGAGTCTGGCTCTCCAGCCAGCAGACCATGCAAAGTCTGGGCTTCACCTGGCCCAGACACTAGGCAGAGATACAAAAAGGGTTTGGGTTGTCACAAGGTATTCAAAATGTGACCTAATACACATTAGATTATTTAGATTTTGATAGACTAGAGACAGACATTTCAGTTATCATGGTGAAGTAAAATAAATGATACAGGGATGATAATTTCTGAGATTTAGACAGCAGAAGAAATGGATTTTTCTATTTCTTAAAGTAAAATGTATTTTCAGTTAACTGTACCACAAATTATACCCCCAATTGCCTAGGACAGTGCTGTACTTGTAATATTTTAATGGAATATTTGTAATAAATTTTACTGAATTTATTTAATAATAAATATACTAGGAAAGTTCAATGTCAAGGAAATAGGAGAGTGGCCCTCATAACCCACTCACAAATCAACATCACATCTTGAAACAGAGGATTGAATAGTTTCATTACTTTATTCTCTCTCTGTCGCTGTGTGTATGTGTGCATAAGTACATTTGTGTGTTGATACACATGTGTGAGAGCATGACAGGTGGAGGAGAAGCTCCGGTGTCAACCTCAGGACATCCTTCACCTCCTCTGAGGCAGTGTTTCCTATTGTTCTCAAGTTCATTGTTCAGCAAGACTGGCTGCCTAGTGAGTCCCAGAAATCCTTGTCTCTATCTACCCAATGGTGGGCTCACAAGCACTGCGTCTGCTACCAAGCCTAGTTGTGGGTAGGCTCTGGTGTCCAAGTCAGGCCCTGGGATTTGCAAGGCAAGCAGTTTATTGACAGCCATTTCCCCAGCTCTGAATCTATTCTTTTTGGTGGTGGTGGTGGTGGCATCGGCGGCGGGGTTGGGGGGTTGTTTGTTTTGGTTTTTTGAAAGAGAATTTCTCTGTGTAGCCCTGGCTGTCCCAGAACTTCCTCTGTAGATCAGACTGGCCTAGAACTCAGATTTGCCTGCCTCTGCCTCCCAAGTGCTGGGATTAGAGGTGTGCACCACTACCATCCAACTTAAACTTTAATTCTTTCTAGTTCTTATTTATTTGACTCTTTCTTATCTGTGCTAAATTAACAAAACATCCAAATTCTCAAAGTCAACAATAGGTTATGGACAATTATTTATAATTTTACTTAATATTAAAACTTGAAGTTTGATTTGATGGGAACACTCATGATCACCTTCTGTCATTCTATAGATTTTTAATCTTCTGCAGTAAAGATAGCCTCGAACTACAAAGCCAGTAAGAGAATGTACAAGGTTTGCTTATACACAAACTGTGGCTGAAGGCTACTCTTATAAACACCCACTGTGATTTGGCTGTAATGAGTCTTTGTCCTGCCAGCCAGCTCCCAAATAATGACAGGGAGAATTGATATTAATTATGAAAGCTTGGCCTTAACTTAGGCTTGTTTTTTACTAGCTCTTATAACTTAAATTAACACATTTCTATTAATCTACATTCTGTCACGTACCACCCATCCAGCTTCTTTCATATCTCCTAGATTCATCTCCTCCTTTCTCTCCCTGTATCCCGCCTATACCTCTGCTGTTGGCTGTTCGGCTTTTTATTACACCAATCACAGCAAATACATCATCACACAGAGTACAAATGTCCCACAACATTCAGACACTATGAGATGAACATTGAAGATAAGCTTTGTAGATTAGAAAAAAGTCAATGAAACAGTTAAACTGTGTCCATCTGACATTATATCCTGGTCACTTAGAATCTTGTTAAACCATGTCCATACATGCTACATAGCCACAGCTTAGTGACTGGGAGAGGTGAGGTTGATTCCAGATTAAATATAAGACACTGTGGATCTTTGGAGTCAAACTCAAAAACTTAGATTCCATCATGCCCTTAATTATCAAATGTGTTTCCTGTGAAGAAAGGAGTACTGTGTAAAATGTTTGATAATCTGACAAGGCCATAAGGCTTAATGGAATTGATGATTACACACAGATGGACGATTAACTCTCGAGGTTTAACGTTAAGAAAAAAAAAGTAGCTGTGCTGGATTGCTACTTAATGGAATTACACTGCCCATATGGAAAAGAACTCTACCCTAAATACACCCAGAATGACGGAACAGGTGGCAGGATCTGGGCAAGACTGCTTGGAATGCACAAAAGCATTCTGAACTTGTAACTGCCAGAAAGATTCCTGGAGGAAAAAGAAAAAGAGGAGACTCGTTCAAACTGTGTTAACTTTTCTACATTCTGGAAATATGAATTGCAAAATAATTAGAAAACTGAAATATAAAGTACTTTTTTTTCATACTGTCTCCTAGAAACCTATATAACTATGTCTGTTTGTGACTGAGGGAATATTATAGTATATGGATGATTATGTCCAACATAAAATTAAGGAGGGTAGTGACCTTGTCACTTATTAGCTTTAACAACATGAAGATGAAATTAAGGGAAGTGTGTAAAGAATTCCAGCTAAAGTAAGGAGCAGACATTACATCCTAACATGTTTCCCTGTTCTTTAATAACATCTTGCATTCCCAGGTTCATGGATAAAGAATCACTGTATGTGTGAAGACGATGGCATGATATGAACACCAGTAAGCATTTACATAGAAAGGAGTAAGTGATAAGGTGATGACATTCCAGTTTTAAAATCAATGCTGAGCTTAGGGATGGCAGCAGTGGGCGAGGACTTACTTAGCATCCACAAAGCCCTGGATTTAGTCCCCAGCACCAAATGAAAACAGGGCATATTTCTGCATGCCCTTAATTCCAGCATTCAAGAAGTTGAGGTTAGTGGGTACAAAAGAAGTTCAAGGTCATCCACAGCTAACCTGCAGTTAGGGAGCAGCCTGGAATATAAAAGACCATGCCTCAAAACACAAACCAGAGTAGAAAAAACAGTTCTACTGCTAGAAGATGAGTTACTTGTGATGTTTTATTCTAGTGCAGAGGAGTTTTTATTTTAAATATTATTTACCTTTCCAATCATCCAGAAACTGTTTTCCATGGGTGCACAGAAGTATAGAAATAGGATCAGGAAGTTTTGGGTCATGATATATCTGTTTTCTACATTCATTATTTTATTGAATTCTCAACTTTAAGAATATTCAAGTTTATACTGTTTGTCTATTCTACTGATGAGGAACCTGATACTGTGTGACACTTCTAAGGTCACAGAGCCAAAAGCTGATGACATTACCTACTTACAGCTTTTATTTCACATGTGCTGTCCCTGAATCAAGATGACTGTGGTGGGTCTTGAGTACTCTCGCCCCGCTTCCTGGGCTGGTGCCCTCCAATGCCTTCTTGGCCTTCACTGTTTGCCAGGGCTCTGCTAGGATCTTCAGAATAGCTGCAAAGATGGAAGGAAAAATAAAGTACCGTCCACCACAAAAGAGTAAATGTGACTACTAAGTGATTTAAAATGGTAATGAAGAGGTCACACACGTATTTCTCTTTAATAAAGTTTAAAGTTTATCTTCCTCATTTTTCTTTGAAGTATTCAATGTTAAAATCCATGAAAATATGCAATATTTTGATTGCCTTGTTTCACTGATACCTTAAGTATATATTCATCATGCTCATTGATTAATCGGTTAAACTCTGTCCCCACTACATAATTCTTGAGATAGCATTTAGAGGTGAGGCCTTTGGAAAATGGTCAAATCATGATTGTAGAGCTCACTTGAATGGGATAAGTGTCCTCATGAGAAGATACAAGATAGCTACTCTCGGTCTCATCATGTGAGGTCCTTCAAGAATGAAGCCATCTGCAGGAGAGTCATCACCAGGTACAAAATTTGCTGACACCTTAATCATGTGTTTCTCAGACTCCAGAATTGTGAAAAACAGTCAAAATTCATTTGTTTAAGCTACCCCATCTATGGTATATTTGTTACAGAATTATGACCTAAGACAAATTTGCCTGAATGTGAAAAAATATCTTAGTTCAATTAATCAGTAACCTTAATTACATGATTTTAGCAATTAATACTTTCAAACATCTATATGACTCTATTATAAAAATAAGATGTACTAAGCTGTTTGCCATGGAAATAATCTTGGTTTCATCACACAAACCAAATGGTTACTGAATATAGGTCCACAGCTGCTTGTAGATGTCTGCTCCTTCTCTTTCAATATGCTCAGAATTTTATGCATTTTGCTAAATGTATATAATCATTTTTTTTCACACGTTGTTCTGAGAAAATTTTCCAGAGAAATTTTATCACGATCAAGAGATAAGATAAACAGTGGAAACCCTTCTGGTCTGGCAAAAAGACCTTCCTTCGGTTTTAATGTTTTATTTTCAGCTAATTAGCTTTGAACCTTGATCTCTGATATGCTTGTGTATTTTGTTTCTTTTCTAAGATATTTTTATTCATGTTATACCATAGGAATTATGAATTATAACAAGTAAATATGGGATATTGCTTGAACAAACATGCACTGAAAATGAAGAAGCATGTGCTCGCTTTCTCTCTCTCTCTCCTCACAATGTCCTGGGTGACATGGGTGCTCAGCTGGCCTCTCTGACTGAAGAATAAAGACAATTCTTTTTCTAATCTATTGTAAAACCCTGAGGACAAGGTACATACCTTGGGTGGGGTTACAGAGAATGTCAACTTTACCAAGGAAGTATGCCAAGAAAGAACTAATACAGTTGTAAGGAGGGCAATCAATGGCGGGTCTTCTAAACCAGAAATACATGTTTCACTCTTTGTTTTGTTTGTTTTGAAGCCACACTTTTAGCGGGGTGTCTTTGGTTATAAAGAGATTGTCATGGAAAACAAATAGAATTTCTATCAAATGAATCTAAATTACCTGTGTCCATGACTATCATACTTACTTTGTGCTGAACTAAAATTAATTTAATTTATCTTAATTCTTAAATTGATCGAACATCATTTAGAGACTTTTTCATAAGTTATTATAGCTTCCAACTCAACACAAGATGACTCTAGCAGACAGCCTGCAGCTCTGACGATGTGGCATAGGAGAGATGTGTTGATGAAGACTATGGAAAAGTGCCAAATTATGTCTTTATCCTTTCAGCAGTAGCTTTCTGTACTTTTAGTATTATGTGTAAAATACCCTTTAAAATGTGATATTTACTCAAATTGGACACACTTTACTAAATGTGTTCCTAGCAATTTTAAATAGCAGAGTTGTTCCATTGTTTCATTTTTAATCCAGTATATTTTCCTGATAGCATTGTGATTTAAAGTGAAATAGTAATATTGAGCTTAACACAGAGAAAATGCCCAAAGAGTAGAGAAGAAATTAGCTTACAATTTTTATCATATTTAATACAAGGTCACTAGTAAGGAAAATCTTCTAGTTGCCTGAGAAATGAAAGCCAGTCAATGACTCGTACTGCAGGGAGATGAGTTAGCAGGGATAGTGCACCTGCGCAGACTGGAAAGGAAAGAGTGTGTGTCCCTTTTGGACTGACAGCAGGGTCTCTACTTAAAAGCACAGGTCTCCAAAATATATAAAGAACTCAAGAGACAAGATATCAATATACCAAATAATCCAATTAAAAAATGGGGCACAGATCTAAACAGAGAATTCTCAACAGAAGAATCTCAAATTGCTGAGATACATGTAAAGAATTGTTCAACATCCTTAGTGACCAGAGAAATGCAAATCAAAATGACTCTGAGATACCATCTTAAATCTGTTAGTATGGCTAAGATAAAAAATACTGATGACAGCTTATGTTGGAGAGAATACAGAGTAAGAGGAACACTCCTCTACCACTGGTGGGAGAGCAAACTTGTACAGCTACTTTGGAAATCAATATGGTGGATTCTCAGAAAATTGGGAATCAATCTATCCCAAAATGCAGCTATACCAATCTTGGGCATATACCCAAGGGATGCTCAAACATACCACAAGAACACTTGATCTACAACCTTCATAGCAGCATTATTCATAATAGCCAGAACCTGAAAACAACATAGACATCCCTCAACTTAAGAATGGAAAAAAAAAACCAAAAACGTGGTACATTTATACAATGGAGTGTTACTCAGCTGTTAAAAAAATGACATCATGGCCGGGCGGTGGTGGCGCACGCCTTTAATCCCAGCACTCGGGAGGCAGAGCCAGGCGGATCTCTGTGAGTTCGAGGCCAGCCTGGGCTACCAAGTGAGTCCCAGGAAAGGCGCAAAGCTACACAGAGAAACCCTGTCTCGAAAAAACAAAACAAAACAAAAAACAAAAACAAAACAAAACAAAAAAAAAACAACAAAAAATGACATCATGAAATTTGCAGGGAAATGGATGGAACTAGAAAAAAGTCATCCTGAGTGAGGTAACCCAGACTGAGAAAGACAAACATAGTATGTACTCACTCATAAGTGGATATTAGCTATACAGTACAGGATAAACATGTTACAATACACAGCTCCAGAGAGGCTAGATAATAAGGAGGACCCTAAGAGGGATGCATAGATTTCCCTGGGAAGGTGAAATAGAAGAGATCTCCTGGGTAAACTGGGGGTGGGTGGGGGAAGGGAACATGAGAGATTGGGTTGGGTGGGTTAGGAGCAGGATGGAGGGAGAAAATAATGAAAGAGCTGCCTTGATGTGGGAGGCATTTCAGGGTTATGGAGAAAGCTGGTGCCAGGGAAACTTCCAAGAACCCACAACGATGACCCCAGCTAAGACTCCTAGCAATAGTGGAGAGTGTGCTTGAATTGGCCTTCTCCTGTAATCAAATTGGTGACCACCATGATAGTTATCACAGAACCTTCATCCAGTAAATAATGGAAGCAGAGGCAGAGATCTACAGCCAAGCACTGGGCCGAGCTCTGGGAGTCCTGTTGAAGAGAGGGAGGAGGGAGGGATTGTATGAGTCGGGGGTGGGGGGTTGAGGTTATGATGGGGGAACCCACAGAGACAGTTGACCTAAGCTCATGGGAGCTCATGGACTCTGGATCCTCAGCTAGAGAACCAGCATGGGACTGACATAGGCCCTCTGCATGTATGTGACAGTTGTGTAGCTTGATCTGTTTGTAGGGCTCAAGTGGGAACAGGACCTGTCCCTGATGCTTGGGTTGCTTTTCAGGAACCTATTCCCTATGCTGGATTACCTAGCCCAGCCTTGATGCAGGGGGAGGACTTCAGTTTTGCCTCAACTTGATGTGCCATGCTTTGTTGACACCCATGAAAGGCCTGCCCCTTTCTGAAGGGAGAAAGAGGAGGAGTGGATGGGGGAGGTAGATGGGAGGTGTGGTGAAGGAACATAAAGGGAGGAGGGAGGAGAAACTTTGGTATGGATGTAAAATAAATGAAGAAAATTACTTAACTTAAAAAAGAAAACATTAAAAAAAAAAAGAAATGTCAACACATTTCATCACTTAAAGGGTGTTGTCACTGTAGAACTAACCGTGGTCCTGAAAATGGTGTTTCATTACTTCCTGATCACTTCAGCTATGGGGCGCCACTGCTTTTCAAAAGATAGCAGAGGGAGAGTGATCATGTTTATTACTGGATTGTGCTGCAAAGTTGGACAATTAGAAGTGTCATCAAAAAGAATGGAAAATACAGGATCTCTCTTGTATGGAGTGCATTCTCACACTTAGACAGGAGACGAAGGGACTATATGAACAGCAAATCCAAGGGAATTCTAGGAATGACACTCTACCATCTCACAGTGCTTCTAATCAGAGTGACAGAAAAGCCTTTACACCACCATGGTCACTCTGAGCTTGGCATGCTAACTTCAGAATACATGCTATTGGAAGGAGAGGAATGTGGCACAAAATAGAAGCTTAAGCCAATAACAGTGTTAAAATTTTTCTCATGGCTGTTTATAACACATAATATGAAATGTGACGATGAACTAGGCATAAATGGGGCCTATGCGCTGTAGCATATGCAAAATAATATTTATCAGCAGAGTAGTAGCTTCAAAATACAAGTCATGATTGCAACTTTGTCTTGATGATCCTTCTCTGGTAAGACAGAAAAGTAGACCAAAGCAGAACAGTCATGACCATATTAGAAAGAACCATACTGCCAACATTTGCTTTTATCCCACCCTCTAAATTTTCTCTTATCTGGGGTGGTTTTATGCCTTCTTTTTTTCCTTCCTTTACTACCATATCTGCATTGCAGCTATATCCTTCCAACTCTATGTTAATACTTTAGTTTAACTCACTGAAAATTAAGTACTAAAGTTAAATGTTTATATCTGTCTATATGTCTGTAGTATTTGTCAGTGTTCATATATATTCTATTGTTCACCAAGGACCACAACTTTAAACACAGGACACAAACATGCAGTCAATACAGTAAGGGAGAGAGAGAGAGAGAGAGAGAGAGAGAGAGAGAGAGAGAGAGAGAGAGAGAGAATGGGATGTCTCAGGAAATCATCATTAGCAACTTCACAAAGGTAAGAAAGTCAAGAAGGGTCATCATCAAAAGGTTCCTTTGCATCAGTTGCCTTTGAAGTTAAGCAGTCTGTAACTAAAGCCTAATATCCTCTCTGTTCAAAAACCTTAAAAATGCTTTCATCAACATCCCCTTAATGCTTTTTACATAGATGACTCTGGTATCATTTTAGATTTTCTGAAATTCATAGTGCATGAAATTGTTTCTTAATTCATACGACAGATGACAGTCTCTAAGGTAGGCTTTCTTTTGCTCCTAGTCAGAACCTGTAAGTTGCAGCTGGTTTCTATTTAAAATCAAGATTTTCCCCATTGTGAGGTCCTAGTAGAACAGATATTTCATGGTGAAGTCGGAGTCCTTCCTTGAGACCTGACATTCTCATCTTACTGATTGGTTAGAGAACCAGCAAGTTCGTCAGTAATGCCCTGAGAGACATGCCAAAGGTAAAGCTCCATGGGTCCCAACGTATCTCTTAAGGGCCAATTTGCACACATGCAAGATTTATATATTCAAAATCTTCATTATTTCTTAGTAGTATGTTCTCAGAATTTCTTATTACTCCCCAAACTTCAGGGAACTAGTTACATAAGCCAGTCCAATATTGTACAAACTTCTCTTGGTGCTTCTATTGTGCATACAGATCTTGTTGGGATGCTCAACCACACATGACATATAAAAGTAGACTATTATAGGATGGATATCCTGAAAAGTGCTGTATCCACAAAATATAACTGGTACCCTACAATAAATCTGTTTGAAAGTAGAAGAGAAGGACTCCAAGATCCATGACATGCTCAGGAATGAAAAGATCTCTACATATATCTTCCAAAGTATGTCAGGTCCATGAATATTACTTGAGATGACCATACTTATTCTTAGGTTGATTTGGTATTTTCTTTTGTTTTTAGGTTATTGTTGTTATTTTATTTGGAGATGTATTTACTTCATGTTATTTATTCAGAGGGGTTTTTAAAACTATTTTCCACTTTTATAGCTATTGACTATTAAACGTCCATCCTCAGCTTACAGATGAAGTGAAAGAAGTTGTGTACATGGGGTCAGATCACAGGATATACTACTGTGCTAGAGCCAGGGTATGTGCCTCCTAGGCAGCTAACAATGTGCACACAGGAAACAAGTTTCTTAGCATGCTGAATCACTCCTGTGTCTACGTTTAAATAATTCAATAGTTTAGCAATCAAGAAACAGAGAATGAGCCCAGTCGTGGTGGCTCACTCCTTTAATCCCAGCACTCTGGAGGCAGAGGTAGGTGGATCTCTGTGAGTCTGAGGCCAGCCTGATCTACAGAGTGAGTTCCAGGACAGGCTCCAAAGCTACACAGAGAAACCCTATCTTGAAAAAGAAAAAGGAACAGAGAAGGAAAATTATCCACTTCATGCATGTATCATAATTTCCTATTGAGATGCATATAACTCATGTAGCAAACATCAGTTAGGAATGCAGTTCATTAACACATCTCAAAATGATTACTACAAAATTAGAAAAACTGAAGCCTTCACTTCAGCTGTCATGTGCTCTGAACTTCATTCAACCCATCTTTTTGTGTGAAAATGCATTTTTGTCTGTGTCAATGTTCTTCAAAATTTACTCAATTAATTTAGAATTTGCTGAACACTTTTTTCATGCCATGTCATCAGTGAAGCAAGGCATCTGTATTACAACTATAGATGCTAGAAAGATATATAAATATCAATGTAGGGAGAGAGATTGGCTTAAACCAAATGCAGAGGCACACACACAAGGTTAAAAATGCAGTATGGGTGATTACAATATTGCTGTGGATATCGTTCTATATAAATAAAACACTGATGGCCAGTGACCAGGCAGGAAGTATAGGCGGGACAAAGAGAGAGGAGAATTGGGGAAACAGGAAGAAGGAGGGAGAGACACTGCAGCCACCGCCAGGACAAGCAGCATGTAAAGACGCCGGTAAGCCACCAGCCACGTGGCAAGGTATAGATTTATAGAAATGGGTTAATTTAAGATAAAAGAACAGTTAGCAAGAAGCCTGCCACGGCCATACAGTTTATAAGTAATATAAGCGTCTGAGTGATTATTTTATATGTGGATTTTGGGACTGCGGGGCTTGGTGGAGCCTGGAGAGAAGCTCTCCAGCAACACAATATCAAGTTTATTTGTAAATGACTTAAAAAACAATACATTTATATTAGTGACTAACATATATGCATTCATAAATCTGGCAGTGAAGTTTCCATAGTTCATAATATTATAGATCAGAAATTATTCGTACACAAAACTAAGAACATCTCTTATCTTTAATGACAATATCTTATTTTCAGGAACTCAAAACAAGTGATTTCTACTCACTAAATCCAAAAGTAAATCTGGTCATTCATTTGTTTTGAAAACAGCTTCCCTGTTTAAGCTTTTTATATATATATATTATAATATCATTCTTTACTCCCAGGTAACTCTCATTCACTTTTCAAAAATTAGTTTCTTTCTTTACTTTTTTTTCTCCAAATAGTTTTTGTTGTTGTTGTTGTTGTTTGATGAGCAGAAAACTGATACTGTTAAATAAAATGGTTGACATTTCCGACATTGCTCATAATGTTCTCTGGTTTTGTATGTATTATTCCAGTTGACTTCCTTGATAAAAATAAGAGATGAACAATATCACGACATAGCACGTGGACAAGAAGAGCAGCTAGACTTTTGCCACCTGCAGTAAAACCACTGGGATAGAACTTCTTGGGAGGTGTTCTTCCCAGACCACTGGCAGTCATAATACCTGTTACTGTCTTGCTGGAGAGCTCTTGACCTCAGTTCTTAATGAAGCTCGTCTGGCCGCTTTATAATGAATTATTGGAAAAGCTATTAATAGGTTCATTATAAACCCACCAAACAATTTCAAGGCCTGTCACAGTTCCATCAGCTTTGGGCTCATTGAAAATGCAAATTATAAACTGTTCACAGGGAAAATATGTAATCCAATTTTAGTATATGCCAAAATGTTCAGTAAGATGCTGGGAAACTAGAAATAAGAAATTGATTTTAAAATTTCACAATATATATTCTGGAGTCACTATTAGATATAATAGATTGAAAACCTGCAAAGGTAACTGCATGAGGTCTTCCTCTCAAAGGTGGAAGAGATGTCAAAATGGTGGTGTGGAAATGATCCTGAGAGGTGTGTTTGGATCCAATAAAAATGCAGTGATGGAACATTCCATTAAAGCCAGGCAACCACAATCAAAGTTTCAAACACATGTGGTATCTGGGTTTGGTCTTCAGGGATAAATAGTAGACGGGCAATATTCTAAGCATCAGGAATCAAGTAAATGGTAATAATAGAACGGTACAAGTACCTGTTAAGTAGTTACTGACTTAAATGTCCTAGTGATGGTACAATTTCCGTCCTTCCTTCTTGGCAATATGGCTGAATTTCTCTATTTTTGAACTATGAAATGTATTTGAGGGTTAAGTATGCTTTATTACCTTTCAGTAACTGATTTCTGCAGATGAAGTGGCTCTTTTCATATCCATCCACCTGCTAATCTGGGATCATTTTGAAATTGAGGATACAGAAAAAGAAAAGAAAAGGAGACCACAAAGCTGTGTTACATCTTGAAATGTATTACACTATAAAAACAAAAACAACAATAAGAACATATTCTGAATGACTCTTTTGTTTTTTTAGTACTCTACCACTTAGTGACAATAGCTAGGAGTATAAAGAGTTCTCAGGGTCCCCCTGGTGGGATATAGGGTTCCTGTAAGAACACAACTCCATCTCCTTCAACCTCACCATGAAAATAACGTATTTGTTTCTAATTAAGGAGGACCTAGTTTCTCCCTTCTCAGCACTGAACATTTTCTCTTGTTCTGTGTGTCTGAACAGGGTAGATGTGTATGGGCAACCACCAATTTGCGAGATTCTGGATCAGAACTCTGTGGCTTTGCAACAGCGATAACCCAACTTCTGACCACTGTGTATTTGTGTTCCACAGTGACACAGACTACCTGGGAACATGCCACAAAAATGGAGCAATAACAAGGTCAAGATTTGGACAGTCTTTAGAGATCAGTAGCTCTAATGTTTGAAGGCCCGTGGTCAAAAAGAACTGAGAAAACTTTTTTTTCCTTCTTAGTGGAACAAAAAACTCAGATTAATGATACAGAGTGCAGAGAAAAGAAAGCAAATTCTAGGGAACATGAGAATTGAACTGAGAGCTACCTGAAGTCCAGTTATAGTTGTCCAACAAACTCAGTGTCTGAATAAGGGCATGGGTATTAGTCAGAATGTACATTGGGAAGAGACACTGTTGGGCAGGAAGGATATGAGTCTTCTCAGGTTCCTCCACAATCATGTCATAGAGTATAATAGTGCAGAAAGTCTCTAGAACTTCTTATTACTCCATCATTAGGTAATTAAGAATGCCATACACTATTTGGGGAATGCCAAAGAATGTGCTAGATTTAGAAGTAAAGCATTAAGCTCTAGGAGAGGCTGAGCCTCTCCAGGGCAGGGGGTTCTCTCCTTCAGTAGTATGATGAGAAGTTCAGTTCAATGCATACCAGCTAGATGCCCCGCTGCTGTTCAGACTTGGCCTACACTAAACTTACTTTCCAACAAGCCAAATGATTAAATAATGGTTGTGCAAAAAGGCAAGAAGCTAAGGCAAAAATGGAGAGCAAACACTTGGGAGAAAACCTTGGGTTAAGGTAACAGATGCACTTTGTAAAAATCGGTAAGACTATTACCTTTCTGAGTGTTTAGAAAAGAATTTTTAAAATGCAACACCTCTTTCTCTCTTTCCCCTAGTCAAACCAGTCGACAGAATTTAGCACTGGGAAGAAGCCCAGAAGGTTTGAAATTCTGTAAGAAAAAAAAATAAAGAGTATATTTTTAGAATTCTGGTAGCAGCTGCTAAGAAATGTATTTCTATTTGTGGTTAGTCTGAGCTGCCGAGCATGAGTGTGTGGTAGAGGAAGATAACGCGGACAAGGCAAGCGGAGAATACAGCAAAGTGAGCACTGCCTTTGCTTGTTGTTGAGGGGAAAAAAGGAATACTAAAGATGGCATTTCATCAAAACAAAACTCCAAATTACATATCCAAGAGCTAGAATTAGATATCTAGCCTTCCCCACTCCCAAATCTTTCTGTTTCTTAACTATTTTTAAGTCTTTCCTAATGGGAGCTTAGGGAACATTTACATGATAATATAGGTCTTATTTAAAAATCAACTTCAGATGCACCTACATATGCAACCTCTTGTCAAGTAAGCAATCTATCAAAAACTTCACCTTAAAAATATGCTTAAATAAAGCTTCCATTGACTTAGTAGGTGAACTCTTTTACAAATGACTAAATGAATTGATCATTGTTTATTTTTTTATGGGGTAACTTTGGTTTCTTGGGTTTATTAATAAAACATTAAATGACTAGAAACAGTGTGCACTGTAGACTTTTCATATGTTGAAATGGGTACCATAGTCAAGACTGTGCTTTTACTATGATGGGCTGTTTTGAAAAATAATGACATCATTACATGTCTGGGAAATGATTTTCAATTATGAAATACAGTATATATTTATGGTGTTTCTAGTTCTTAGGCTTCTTTCTCCTTTGAAATTGGAGGTAAAGTCCCTTCTTCAAATGAAAACAGCCAGATGGTGGTGGTGTATGCCTTTAATACCAGCACTTGGGGGCAGAGGCAGACGGATCTCTGTGAGTTCGAGGCCAGCCTGGGCTACAGAGCGAGATCCAGGAAAGGCGCAAAGCTACACAGAGAAACCCTGTCTCGAAAAAAAAAAAGTGAAAACAAACATGCTTTTGCTATCAATCTCTTCCATACCCAGAGCCAACTTAGCACTAATATCAAAATAAGATACCACAAACATGGTTGGTGATCTAGGTACTGTTATACAACATTAATTTATTGTTTAAAAGGTAAATAATATTAATTACATGTTATTGTTATGACATAAGCCACTAAATGTATATTTGTGAGAGTCAGTGTATTACAAAGTTCAATCTCTTTTAGTTTTATTTGATCCTTAGTTTTATTTTTCCTAAATTGTTCTGGATATGTTCTGTGACTTTATATATTAGGCAATTAACCTGGATTTAATTCAATACATGATATTTTTCTAATTCTTATTGTTTTGGTTTCCTTTTAGTTGCTGTGATAGAACATTGACCACAACCTGCTTTGGGATGTCTTTCTGTATGCTATGAATATGTGTGGCTCCCATTGGATAATAAATAAAGCCGTTTGGGCCTATGGCAAGAGAGCTTACAGGCAGGCAGGATATCTAAGCAGAGACACAGAGAGAAGAAGGACAGAGCCCAGAGAGACACCAGCCTACTGCTGAAGGAGCAACAAGATGCCAGCCTACTGGTAACACCACAGCCACATGGCAACATACAGATTAATAGGAATGAGTTAATTTAAGATGAAAGAGCTATCTAGCAAGAAGCTGAAGCCATAGGCCATACAGTTTGTAATTAGTATAAGCCTCTGTGTAATTATTTTATAAGCAGCTGTGGGACTGATGGTGGGAGAGATTTGTCCCAACCACAGGGCCAGGCAGGACACAGAGAAACTTCCCTCTATAACAACCAGCTTGAGGAGAAAAGTAATTTCACCTTACAGGTTATGGTCCATCATCAAGGAAAACCAGAAACCTGGAGGCAGGAACTGAAACAGATCAGCGAGTAATGCTGCTTACTGGCTTGCTCTTTATTCCTTGCTCATGCTCAGCTTGCTTTCTCATACAATTTAGGACCACCTAACCCGGAGTGGTATCTTCCATAGTGTGCTGGACCCTCTCACATCCATCAATCAAGGAAATGACTCACAGGTATATGCCCCAAGCCAGTCTGATGGAGGCACATCCTAAACTGGGGTTCTCTCTCCCCAGGTCGCTCCAGTTTATGTCAAATTGCAAGAACTACTCAGTATTAGAAGAGGGATCTAATCTCAATCACCAGTGGCCCTTTTTCCCTTAGTCCCAGTTTGAATTAAGATAATTATTCTTGCTTTCTTTCTCTCTCACTCCATCCTTCTGATAACTACCTGCTTCTCTTTGTCCCCTTACCTTTCCCCCCTGCACTGTGGTACATACCAGAGATCCAGAATGGCATGCTACAGAAAGCACAAGATGTTCACAATCAGGTTAGCATCAGCTGGTGTCAATTACCTGCCTGACCTAGTCTATACTTGAATATCTTCCACCTCTATTGACAAGCAAGAAAAAACTACATAGTGCTACCAGTTTACCAAATATGGCTGTGGTGGTTAGTTTTAATTGTGAGCTTGTTTTGCAAGGACAGGTTCAGAGAAGTTTAACTGAGGTAGAGAAACTCGCTCCAAATGTAGGCAGAACCATTTAAGATGGGATTCCTGACTACATAAAAGGGATGGATACAGCAGGTGGAACACCAGAATTCACATCTCTATGACTGCCAAAAAAAAAAATGTTGCCAGTTTCCTCAAGCTCCTATGGCCACAGCCAGAGCTGCTGTTACCACATCCCCTTCCTGCTGCACTAGACGAGATCTTCAAGCTGTGAGCCAAAATGAGCCCTTCCTTTCTTAAGTTCTCTTGTGTGTTGTGTCACTGAAAGTGACCAATGTAACTAAAACACAACATGGCGTGATAAACTCACCGTGGGGTTCCTAGGCTTTTGGAACTAGTTTGGAGGAAGGTTTAGAAGGGTTTGGAGCTACAGGCTAGACAGAAGTCCAAGAATGCTGTAAGCAGAGCCTGATGGACCATGCCAGGGAGCGTTTGGCAGACCAGAATGCCAACAGAAATGGGAACAGCGGTGTTGTGGTTCATAGAGCTTCAGAGTGGAACAGAACCCTGCTGGGAACTGGTCTAGAGGCTGTTTATGTTAGATTCCAGTGAAGAACTTGGCTTATTCTTGAGAACTTGGAAAAGGCTGAAATTAAGAGTACATAAACTCGGTTCTTTGGTGGAGGGAATTTCATGATAGGATAATGCCCGACAGTGGCATGGTTACTTCTCGTTGCTGTTATTCAGATGTACAGAGAGGAAGATGAGGGAGAGGACAGAATGATGTGAAAAATATGCCCTGTGGTAGAGAAAAGAGCTTGAGTGGATGAAGTGGCAGACAGGGACTGTGCAAGTAGGAAGGAGAGAGTGTTAGGAGGCAGACATCTCTTGTTCTGCACTGAGACTGGGAAAGGTGCCCAGAGGGAAAGGCTGTACCTAGCAATGGCTTCAGCTTGTGAAATGATTTGAGAGAGCCTAGAATGAGAATGCCATCAGAGGGGCTCCCTGCTTGAAAACAACTATCTGGAGCAGTCCTCTGAAGACTCTGCCTTCAAGGTGCACGGAGACTGTGGTCAAAGCAGGTGAGGCTATACCTTGAGCTAACAGGACTTGCCAACATCATCCATCTAGAACCCATTTCACAGAAATTAGATATTTGAGAGGTGTGAATAATGGAGGCATGTACTTAAGGTCCAGAAAACACCTGAGGGCAGGCTATATGTAGCAAGGTTGGATTGCTTGCAGGAAACCCTAAGAGGCCACTGTGTAAAGTTGTGAAGATAAAGTCCAAGCTATAATAGACACCCCAGGATTTGAGAGAAAGTAGGGCAGTGGAGCATTTTTCATGGAAAGCTGCAGGCATGGAACAGAGCCAGCCCAAGATAAAAGGTTACTTGTGTTACAGGCCACAAACCTGAAGATGTGCTATTTCCCAAACCATTAGAACCCAACTGATTCCATCATGAGCCCAAATTGCTGAACTTGGAGCTGCTGGGTTTAGTGCTTGCCCTACTGGGTTTCAAGCTTGTTTTGACCTGGTTTCCCTCCTTCGCCCCCATTTCTTCATTTGGAATGAAAATATTTCTTCTGTACCATTACATTGTGATAGTACAAAAGCTGTGTTTTCATTTCACAAGAGTTCAAAATAAGTTCAAGTTGAGCCGCAGAAGAGACTTTGGACTTTTTAACAGTGTTAGGACTGATAAAGACTACGGAGGCTTTCAGAAATGAGCAGTTCATTTGTGTCACACATTAGGGACTAGCAGTGGACTGCACTGACTTAAAACGGACGGGGTTGAGTGTCGGTCGGCAAGGTATGAACTTGTGATGGTTGGTCTTGTCAACTTCAGGGGATTTAAAATAAACTAGGATAAAGATCTCTGGACGTATCTGTGTGAAAGCATTTTCAGAGAGGTTTAAATTAGGAGAAGAGACTCACCCTATATGTGGATGGTACCATTTCATGGGTTTGGGTCCTAAACTGACTAGAAGTAAAAATGTGAGCAGGCCATTGACATTCATTTCCTTCATGACTGTGATGCCATGTGACAGACCAGCCTCAGTTTCAGCTGCTGCATCTAGCTTTGTTCCCTAAATCTTAATTTTCTGGGAACAGAATTGCCATATAATTCATGAAGATGTTTACAACTTATGTCTCAACTTTGTGAATCAAACCATTTAAGTTGGTTTGCTCACTGTGTCATGAAGAGGTTTTCCATGTTTCTTCCTCTTCAAGCTCTATCTACAACAACCATCTCCATGAGCAAGCCCTTGGCCAACATGACAAATGTTAGCAGAGATATCATCCAGTGTTCTCATCACCCCATCCAATAACCACTCAACTTTCAGATGCTGGCCTTTCAGTTGTAAGGGACTGAGCTAGTCCAAGCAAGATCAACCAGGCCACTTATAGATTTACTGTTGGAGCCCACAGAGTTTTCCTGGTGAGATATAAGCTTTCTTTACCAGCAGGGCTGTATAAGAGGATGAATGGAGCATGGGCCTAGGACCAGGTGTTTGGAAGGGTCTATACTTGGCTGTATCTAGCAATTGGCAGGTCTTGTGCCTCATCTCT